TAGTCATCATCGTCATCATGATTTCAAATATGGCGTTAGGCACCCTCGGTAATACAGAGGGTGCTACGATGATAGTTATCATGACAGTTATCCGTAGCTTTGGTAATGCAGGGGATGCTGCGATGATAGTTATCATAAGAGTATCATCCTTATCATCTTCATGATGATTGTCATCCCAGTCATCGCCTTCATCATCGTCATCGTGATTGTTATCCTTATCATCGTTATCCGTATGATCATCATGATCTCTGCTTCTGCAGCATTGGTAATGCAGGGGATGCTACGATGATATCATGACAATCATCGGCAGCTTTGGTAATGCAGAGGATGCTGCGATGATAGTTGTCATGACGGCAGAGGATGCTACGATGATAGTTGTCCTGGGAGTTATCATCCTTATCATCTTCATGATGATTGTCATCACAGTCATCGCCTTCATCATCGTCATCGTGATTGTCATCAGCTCTTTCTTCTGTTTCTTCTATACATATCAAATGTGGCGTTAGGCACCATTGGTAATGCAGATGCTGTGATGATACTTATCATGGCAATCGTCATCCTTATCATCGTTATCCGCGTGATCATCATGATCTTTGCTTCTGCAGCATTGGCAATGCAGAGGATGCTACGAGGATAGTTATCATGACAGGATGCTGCGATGATGGTTGTCATGAGAGTTATCATCCTTATCATCTTCATGATGATTGTCATCACAGTCATCGCCTTCATCATCGCCATCGTGATTGTTATCCTTATCATCGTTATCCGTATGATCATCATGATCTCTGCTTCTGCAGCATTGGTAATGCAGGGGATGCTACGATGATAGTTATCATGACAGTCATCGGCAGCTTTGGTAATGCAGAGGATGCTGCGATGATAGTTGTCATGACGGCAGAGGATAATATGATGATAGTTGTCCTAGGAGTCATCATCCTTATCATCTTCATGATGATTGTCATCATAGTCATCATCTTTATCATCGTCATCATGATTGTCCTCATCATCTCTTTCTTCCATACATTCCAAATGTGGCGTTAGGCACCCTTGGTAATGCAGAGGATGCTACGATGATAGTTATCATGACAGTCATCCGCAGCTTTGGTACTGCAGAGGATGCTACGATGATAGTTATCATAAGAGTCATCATCCTTATCATCTTCATAATGATTGTCATCATAGTCATCGCCTTCATCATCGTCATCATGATTGTCATCATCATATCATCTCTTTCTTGTATACATTTCAAATGTGGCGTTAGGCATTCTTGGTAATGCAGAGGATGCTACGATGATAGGTATCATGACAGTCATCCGCAGCTTTGGTACTGCAGAGGATGCTACGATGATAGTTATCATAAGAGTCATCATCCTTATCATCTTCATGATGACTGTCATCATACTCATCACCGTCATCATCGTCATCATGATTATGAGCATCATCTCTTTCTTCTATACATTTCAAATGTGGCGTTAGGCACCCTTGGTAATGCAGAGGATGCTGCGATGATAGTTATCATGACAGTCATCCGCAGCTTTGGCACCGTAAAGGATGCTACGATGATAGTTATCATAAGAGCCATCATCCTTATCATCTTCATGATGAATGTCATCATAGTCATCACCGTCATCATCGTCATCATGATTGTCATCATCATCTCTTTCTTTTATACATTTCAAATGTGGCGTTAGGCACCCTTGGTAATGCAGAGGATGCTACGAGGATAGTTATCATAACCGTCATCCGCAGCTCTGGTAATGCAGAGGATGCTACGATGATAGTTATCATAAGATTCATCATCCTTATCATCTTCATGATTGTCATCATAGTTCTCACCGTCATCATCGTCATCATGATTGTCATCATAGTTATCACCATCATCATCGTCATCATCAGTGTCATCATCATCTCTTTCTTATACTTCTATAGTCATCATCGTCATCATGATTTCAATTATGGCGTTAGGCACCCTTGGTAACGCAAAGGGTGCTACGATGATAGTTATCATGACAGTTACCCGTAGCTTTGGTAATGCAGGGGATGCTGCGATGATAGTTATCATAAGAGTCATCATCCTTATCATCTTCATGATGATTGTCATCACTGTCATCGCCTTCATCACCGTCATCGTGATTGTTATCCTTATCATCGTTATCCGTATGATCATCATGATCTCTGCTTCTGCAGCATTGGTAATGCAGGGGGTGCTACGATGATAGTTATCATGACAGTCATCGGCAGCTTTGGTAATGCAGAGGATGCTGCGATGATACGTGTGTCTGTAACAAAAATTGTGCCTGTCACCATATAATCTTAGATTATGTTATATCGAATATGTATCAAAATGGGTGCTGCCACGTCTGGAAACAGAAAACACGTACTTTAGGCCGAAAGGCGCTTCCCAAAAGATGGGTGCTGCCACATGTCGAAAAAAAACACTTGCTACTACCACGTCTTCAAAAAACACTGACATGAGTTAAGCCGAAAGGCGATTCCCAAAACATGGGTACTGCCACATGTCGACAAAAAACAGCTGCTACTACCACGTCTTGAGAAAAACACTAACATGTCTTAAACCGAAAGGCGCTTCCCAAAAAAAGGGGTGCTGCCGCGCTTCGAAAAAGAAACAGCACAAACCGGCCGCGGCACAGAGCATTCGCTCTTCCGATCGGCTTGCAGTCACAAGCCAGCCGCGTAGACTCAGGCAACTTTTAGCACAGAGCGTTTCCTCTTCCGATCCGCTTGCAGTCACAAGCCAGCCGCGTAGACTCAGGCAACTTTTAGCACAGAGCATTTCCTCTTCCGATCCGCTCGCAGTCACAAGCCAGCCGCGTAGACTCAGGCAACTTTTAGCACAGAGCATTCGCTCTTCCGATCGGCTTGCAGTCACAAGCGAGCCGCGTAGACTCAGGCAACTTTTAGCACAGAGCATTCCCTCTTCCGATCAGCTTGCAGTCACAAGCCAGGCGCGTAGACTCAAGCAACTTTTAGCACAGAGCGTTCCCTCTTCCGATCAGCTTGCAGTCACAAGCCAGCCGCGTAGACTCAGGCAACTTTTAGCACAGAGCATTCGCTCTTCCGATCAGCTTGCAGTCACAAGCCAGCCGCAAAGACACAGGCAACTTTTAGCACAGAGCATTCGCTCTTCCGATCAGCTTGCAGTCACAGGCCAGCCGCGTAGACCCAGGCAACTTTTAGCACAGAGCATTCCCTCTTCCGATCCGCTTGCAGTCACAAGCCAGCCGCGTAAACTTGGGCAACTTTTAGCACAGAGCATTCCATTTTCCGATCAGCTTGCAGTCACAAGCCAGCCGCGTAGACTCAGGCCACTTTTAGCACAGAGCATTCGCTCTTCCGATCGGCTTGCAGTCACAAGCCAGCCGCGTAGACTCCGGCAACTTTTAGCACAGAGCGTTTCCTCTTCCGATCCGCCAGCAGGCACAAGCCAGCCGCGCAGACTCAGGCAACTTTTAGCGCAGAGCATTTCCTCTTCCGATCCGCTCGCAGTCACAAGCCAGCCGCGTAGACTCAGGCAACTTTTAGCACAGAGCATTCGCTCTTCCGATCGGCTTGCAGTCACAAGCCAGCCGCGTAGATTCAGGCAACTTTTGGCACAGAGCATTCCCTCTTCCGATCCGCTTGCACCTCGTCGCTGCACGGGATGGCGCGGTCGAAACATCTCTTTCGGGAAATCGCCCATACGGAGGTGGCATGTTATACTCATGCCCTTTCAGGTCGGAAGACTCCCTAGTCTTTAGTCCCGTAGAAAACGCATCTGGGCTTGGGAAAGGGATTTGCAACAAGCCACGGCAGGCGAACCAAGCTGAAAACTCGCCAGGTGCCTTTCCACCCCCCCAAGGGTCCATAAATCCGGCTACGCCTCCTTGGGGTAGCATGTCGCCGCTAGGCAATTAGCCTGCTAGCTTTAGCTATAGGGGGTGCACCCTGGTGCCGCCGACCCTCGCCACTTGGTCGTGATGCGCTGCCTAAATCCGGCACCTCTGCATCACCAGCTCGGGCTTGCGGTTTTGCTTGCCTGTGGGAAACCCTCGCAAAACATCGCGTATATGCAGGGTTTAGGCCATGTGGCTGACATCATCAGGGTCTGGGGTTGGGCCTGCGTGATGCTTCAGCGGGGCTTGGTCTGCATCATCAAGACTTCCTTCCAAAAAGCCTCTCAACCCAAAAAGCACTGTTTTTTAGAAGGTATCGGAGGGATATAAGCGAGGCTCATTTTCGCGTTTTTTGGCGCCAAGCGCTGCCGGGCATGCCGGCGATGCTGGGTCCTCGCTCTACAAAACGCTGTAAATACCGTCAAAAACTGCTGTGCTGAGCGGTGGGCTGTTGTTCTGTCCGTTTTGCTTTTGCTGTGGCTGGCTCGCGTGCTGCGCGGTCCTTGCTTTTTTCGCGTTGGTTTTCGGGCCTTCTGGCGCGCGCGCGCGCGCGCGCGCGACCCCAGCCACAAAACGCTGCTATTTACAGTGTTTTGTGGCATTTGCGCTTCCGGGCTGGCTTGCGGGCTGCTCTTTCTGGGCTGCTTTTTTTTTGTCCTCTGGCGCGCGCGCGCGCGACCCCATGTCAGCCTTCTCGGTTGGGGCCCGGCTGGGGCCCAGAAAGCCGGCATCCCCGGCATTATCTGGGGTTAAGGTGGGCAACATGCCTAACCAAACCAGCCATATCATAGCAGTCATAGCACAGAATATGTTTCTCATACAAGAAACATGACATGACATGGAATAACTTCAAAGAGGCGTAGCCGGCTAGAGGCCGCAGGCCCAGAAAATATTTCTTCAACCCAAAATGCGACCACTTCAAGGGACCTTCCCCCTTGAGGTTCCGTTTGGTTTCCCTTTAAACCCGCTAAACAACGGGGGACCTCCAAAAAAGAAAAAACTCCCATTTTCATTCCATGTTTGGTATTTCCCGACATGCTTGGGCCCCAAGGAACATGTCGCGGGTGACGTTTGGGTGATTTTTTGTGGCGCACCGTGGCTCCGGGCAGCAT